CTGCTGTGTTCCTCCAGCTCCACACTGTGTTATCACAGAGTAAAAGACAGCAGGTTCTGTTGTCTCAGTCTGAGCAAGGAGCCCCTTGCAGAACCTGTCCTGCCTGTTAAACCCAGGTCCCCATCAACAGCCTGCTCAAGCCCGCTATACAGATTTCTCTAGTTCAGTGTAGATTCAGCCAGTAACATTTACTCCAAGGCAAGGTCGCTGAATTTAAATAGCACCTTTCGCATATGCAGAATGTCCCCAAGTGCTTTACAGACAATTAAGTACTTTTTGAAATAAAGTCCCTTATGATTATAATGTGGCATCCAATTTGTGCACATTAGGATCCTGCTAACAGGGATATTATATTTTTTAGTGGCACTGATTGAGGGATTGAATACTTATCAGGGCACTGCATGTAAACTCCCTTGCCCCCCGACCTTTGATCTTTTACATCTACCCGAGAGATGAAACAGGATCTTGCTTTATTGTCAAATCTAAAACGTAGCACCTCTAACAGTGCAGCACTCCCTCAGCACTAACCACCGATCTCAGACTTGAGCTGAGGACACTGCCCACTGGAAGCAATTTCTTGCTGATTTCCTTCACTCTCCAAACAGCAAGATTTACTGTCGATGGTACAGAACAGATAGCAAGCACTGGGGAGTTCTGTTGTGAGGATCGAACCTTCGGTAACCAGGAGGCTTGAACCTTCATGAGGGAGGTCAAATTTGAATTCTAACCTTCCCTTAGCTGTAAGGGGCTTGTACAGTATCCAGAGATGGCGCGGGCGGTGAGGGAAGACTGTAACAGGGCAGGGCACCTGTACCCACTTGTTGCTTTGCACATGACCAGCTCCCCCCAACCTCAGATGGATGTCAGGGTAACCATCTATACAATCACTAACTGGTGATCCCTGCTGGACACTGCATTAGGCTGCAGGTTAAGCTGGATGGCCCCACCCTTGTACTTCGTACTGAGCCAGCCTTCACAGGCTGATCACCCCCTCAGGCACGGGTGGCTGCATCCAGTAAAACCTAGCCATGCCAACATGGACGAATTGGGTCGAAGGGTCTGTTTCCATACTGTATGACTCTGTGACAACACAGCAGGCCACGAGATTGGGCGGAGACTCTTCGGAGAGCTGTGGATTACTCACTGATCCTTATTGGGAGGTTTCCGGAGTTGATCGGCTGTTACGCGAGCAGAGAAGTTATAGAACTGGAGAACGTTCTGGAAGTAGAGGTCAGGAACCACTTGGTACTGTGTGAAAACAAACAATACTCACTCAGCAAGTACTCGACTCCTCTCGAAACAATTCTTTGTCAGAAGGAACCGACATCCCTTTCCATCCCAGACGGAGAGATTGCTGGATTACCTCCCACTGACTGCTCTTCAATCCACTCACAGCTCGGCTCTGCCATCTCTTCGTCAACAGAATCTATTGGTCCCCATCTAGAGCTCCATCTGGAATCACAGCCTTTTTGTGATGAGTCTCTCACTTTTCCAAAACCCTTTGTGTTCGCTCATTCAACTCCTAATTGATCCAGCTGAAACGCTAATGTTGCACCCCTCCCAAAACTGGGGGCACTTGTGGTGCAGCGGTAGTGTCCCTACCTCTGAGCCAGGAGGCCCGGGACCATCTCCTACCTGGTCTGCTGTGCAATAACATCTCTGAACAGCTTGCTCAGCAAATATCTTCCCCCCCATCCCCACAATACTGTACCTTTTCCCCCCACCCTGCCCAACTCCATCTACCCTTTCCAATCTCTTTTCCTTTTGAATATTCCAATCAGATTTCACCTCACCTTCTGACATTGGGGAAGTGGCGGGGATATACTGGATTTAATTATGCAGACTGACAATTTGAACTTTGACAAGGAGGACATAATTTCAAAGCTTGCGATGACAGGAAGCTCTGAAGTATCACCGACATGTGAGGTACAGCAGTAAATGGGGGTTTGGGATTGGTCAGAGGGGCTCAGTTTCGTGGATGTCTGTTAAACGAAACAGATGTAGAAACACAGAAACTAGAAGCGGGCGTACACCCATTCTGCTGATCAAACCTGCTGTGCCACTCAACATAATCCTGGCTGATTCTGCATCTCGATGCCATATTCCCACATTCTCCCTATACCTCTTTAAAAATCTAAAAATGTATCAGTCTCTTTCTGAAAGATATTCAGTGACTTGGCCACTACAGCCTTCTGTGGTAGAGAATTCCACAGGCTCACCAGGCTTCAGGCAAAGGCACTTCTCTTCATCTCAGTCCTAAATGGTCCATCCCGTATCCTGAGACTGTATCCCTTGATTCCAGACTCCCCCAACCAGGGAAAACATCCTCCCTGTATCCACTCTGTATAACCCTGTCAGAATTGTATACGTTTCAATCTGATCCCCTTTCATCCTCCTAAACTCTAGTGAGTACCGGCCCAGTCGAACCAATCTCTCCTCATGGGACAGTCCTGCCATCACCCCAGTATCAGCTTTGTGAACCTCTGCTGCACTCCTTCTACGGTCAGTATATCCTTTCTTAAGTGGATGCCCCGTGCTGTGCCAGTTAGTGACAAGCCCATCCTAGTTTAACAAGCCGCTGCCTTATTTTTTGACCTTTGTGTATTGGGTAAAAGCAGGCAAGGATCAAAGGTTAGGAAGACGGGCCCTTTCTCCTGCCAGGGAGATCCCAGTTTGAGAGTTCACGGAAGTGGACGGCCATTCACTCTGAAAGCAGGTGGGGGTTGGGCAGGAGGAGAGGGGAGGGCACGATGGGTAAGAGGCATCGAAGGTAATTTTCAGATAGGAAACATTCCAGTAATCTGGAACGTGTGAGTTGCTGACGTCTCACCGAGCAGGACAGCCCCTCTTCGCTGAGGGGTGAGGACAGAGACACGAACGTGAAACAGACCCACAGCACAGGGTAGTGCCCGGGGGAACTGAACTTCTTGACAACATGCCACCTGTACCCACAGGACATGATCAAAACCAGGAAGCTGCTGTGTGTGTCACTGCTGTTTCAGAGGGGAGTTGTTCTGCTTCCTGACCCTGTATTCATATTGAGTGAAGCCCAGGAGAAAGAGGAGGCCACTCTGTCTCACAGACCTTCACTTCAAGTTGGGCTGGTACTGGCACTCGAGTCCATGCCTCTCTAATGAGTATCACAAGTAGAAATCCAAACAGAGGGACAGGCACCAGTCCAAATTCCACCAGGCCTGGTCTGGTAAAGCTGCCTGTTTCACCAAAGTTTGTGTGTGTCAAAATAATGTCAATGCCTGGGTGTTGGGTGTCAGGTGTGCAATAAAACCCTCAATTTCATTACGCAGTTCCAGCAATGCTCACAGCCCGTGCTGCCCTTTAATCATCAGTTGGCCACACATTTTGCAGACTGTTTGACCTTGCAACACAGATATCTGCATGGCACGGGCGATGGTCGCTCAAAATTCACAGAGTGCTGGCCAGACGGGACAGGACAGATGCATGAGGAGTGCTCCCCCCTTGCTGCAGAAGTCAGAACGCAAGGTTACAGTCTCAGAGTAATCCATCAAGACTGCGGTGAGGAGACATGGCTACACTCAGAGGGCTCTGAATCTTTGGAATTCTCTGCTCCGTGGAAACTCGGCTGCTTGGTATATATTCAGGACAGAGATGGACGGGCTTTTGGACATTACCGCTGAGATCAAATGAGATGGATCAATAAATCCAGCCACGACCTAATCGAATGGCAGTGCAGCCTTGGGTTTATATGTAGTAGTTGCTCCATAGCGATAAAGACAGATACGAGAGTATATAAATAATCTGTACATCTGTCTCACTGGATGTGTATCATTGTTATGCTCTGGGAGATTTTGTCCAAATAGTTGAATGGCCCCCAACATTGTTTATGACTATATGGGAGCAATGCGCAATGTTAATACTGCTCAAACTTCCCTCCTTATTTATTTGCTTGCCAGTTAACTCAGTGTCCCCCATTTCTGAAGAAGGGTCTAGGCCCGAAACGTCAGCTTTCCTGCTCCTCTGATGCTGCTTGGCCTGCTGTGTTCATCCAGCTCTACACCTTGTTATCTCAATGCCCCTCGACCTGTTTCTCCTGTCATCCAAAAGCATTGACTTACATCACTGAAGAGTTTATCCAACTCCTTAGAATCCATGATGAACTTTGGATAACCAATCATGTCGTAAATTGAATCAGCCTAATACGAGGCAAAAGCACAATGTTAAACAAGGAGTGGTGTTGAATACAGCATTCTGCAAACAGGTGATAGCAGTTTTACCATATGAACCCTAACCACCATAGCTCCCCTGGGTTGGGGGGGAAGACCCTCTCACTGCAACTGAAGGAGCTCGCTTGCATAGAGTCAGGTTGAGCCTATGAATCAATGGTTGAGGTACAGATGGGGCTCCTCAGCTGTTAACTGTGTAGATGATGGTTAAGAACGTATGCGTGGAGGGTGTCCATTGTATCTGCTCGAGTAATCATCTACTGAGACTTTTCAGGCTTGTGTGCTGCAGTGGTAGTATCTCTACCTCTGGGCTGGAAAGTCTGAGTTCAAGTCCTGGCTGCCCTGGAGGAGTGTTATAACATATTTCAATAGGCTTTTTAAACAAAAATAAACAGGCACTTTCAATAACATTTAACATTCCTCCAAGGTCGAATCTTGTTACAGTGCCCTTTTAAGAGGCTGTCACCAATTAATTTGTTTAATTAGTTTCCTACAAACAAACATGAAGAGGCTTTTCCTGTTTGCCTGTGCCCCCCGGTGGCCCCAGATAGATGGTGCCCACTGGCACGCCATTGAGACTGGTGAGCACCACAGGAACTGGAGTGCATCACCATCACCCTCAAAAATGATATATCAATGCAAATTTCTTAACGTTCCTTTGGAACCTGTTTTCTTTTGTTACAGATGGTTGGCAACAGTAATCTGCTCTTTCGGCTCCATCCTGACCTGTGATCTCTTGCGCTATTCCACATGGTTATGCTGTGGCTCTCCGAATTAGCATTACCTTTTCCTTTGCAGATTGTTTGGTCTGGTCATCCATCCACTTGGTTTGCTTCAGACTCTCCTCGAATGCAGCCTTAATTTCCGAAATCATCTCTTCTGCCTGAGGAACAACACCAGGATTCAATCCATTGCTCCATCCCCAGATAATGACAATGCTACAAAGTACAGGATTAATATGCCTGCCATGTTGCCTTGTATCTTGGGTTTGAAGGACTTGCTGACACTGAGTGCTGAGGAGGAAGTGGTCTACATTCAAGTAAAATACTTTCTAAACATTTACTTTTGTTCTTAAACTCTCCTCTCCCCTTTCTGACTACAGCTGAATGGGTTATGGAATCATCACAGAATCCCTGCAGTGCAGGTAGAGACCATTCTGTCCAGAGTCTGCACCGACCCTCCAAAGTGCATCCCACCCAAACCACTCCCACACCCTATCCTGGTGACCTCACATTTATCGTGGCTGAGGCTCCCATCCTACACATCCCTGTGCACTATGGGGTAATTTAGCACGGCCAATCCACTTAATCTGCACCTCTTTGGGCTGTGGGAGGAATCCCATGCAGACACAGGGAGAACATGCAAACTCCTCACAGGCATTTGCCAGAGGGTGGAATCAAACCTGGGTCCTGGGCACTGTGAGGCATTGGTGCTAGCCACTATGCCACCCCTTCTGGTAGCCTGATCAAATGTGACGCATTCTGTAAAGAGCAACTCCCCAAAAGCCTCTCCACCATCTATAAGTCAGGAGTGTGATGGAATATTCTCTGGATGAGTGCAGCCCCAACAACACACAAGAAGCTTGACACCATCCAGGACAAAGCAGCCGCTTGATTGGCACCACATCCACAAACATCCACTCCCTTCCCGGTCAGTGCACAGTGCCTGCTTTTGAATGCTAATCACTGCGATAACTTACCGCAACTTCTTCAATGTCTCTCCCAGAGTTTTACAAAGCAATTTTGTTACTTCACATAAGTAGAATGTAGTATATACGAATCAAGGCTTGCTCTGATATTCAATAAACTGAGGCTGATTTTTGGCCATAACTCCACTTTTCACATGCACCCTATACCCCTGATACGTTAGAGACCAAAACACTGTCTGTCTCAGCTTTGAATGTATTTATTTAACAATAAAGTGTCTGGAGTAGAGAATTCCAAAGGCTTTGGATGAACACGTTTTTTCTCATCTCAGATCCAAATGACCAACCCCTTCTCCTGAGGCCCTGTGTTTGATTCCTCTGCCAAGGGGAAAACAACCTGTCAGTGCCTCCCCTGTGTCCCTGTGACAGACACTGTTTTTTGAATCTATTACAATTAGTGTGTAAAATGCCTGAGAATGGCGAGAAGGGTTTACTCACATAAAGGAATAACGGAGGATTAAGGCAAACACTACCTGTACTCTGGACTATCTATTTAAAGGGTGAAGTGATAAACAAAGTAAATGTTGAAATACAACTTAAGGAGTGGGGTTTTGTTGCCACATAGACTGTAATTCCTCTCCAAAATCTTGGTAAAATGAAATAGCTCCAATGCATTTGATGGTGTCAGTTGTAATACTGCCAACAAGAGGAACTTGCCTCAGACTGCACTGAATAAAGCTCTCTTCAGCGAGTCTTTGATGATTGAAGAACATAGGGCAGTGAGATCTACAGTACACACTCCTTTAGCATAGAGCTCAGGGGAGGGGTCAGTTCTGCTCAAGGGAAAGCTCTGCTTTGTATGAGCCTAGTGATCAGACCAGCTACAGGTGAGTGGCCTTTCTCCCAGGCCCCATTCTAAAAACTAACCTTCCACAGAACACCCTGATAGCTCAGTCAGACAGAAATCTCAAACAGAGAAGTGCTGGAGAAACTCAGCAGGTCTGACAGGAGAGAGAAACAGAGTTAATGTTTCGAGTCTGGTATGAGTCTAGTATGACTGCTTCAAAAGAGTCATGTGACTCGAAATGTTAACTCTTCCTCTCTCCACAGATTTGGCCAGACTTGCTGAGTTTCTCCAATGTTCTCTGTGCTTTTAAGGTGTTTAAATGCTGCATGGGATTTGAGGAAATGATTAATGGCTCTGCTGTGACTTTGTAAAGGTTTCTATTGCTATCCAGTGAAAGTGGATGATACAACGAAGCAGAGGGTGGAGCTGGAGGTATTTGAGGGAATGGCTTGCATGTACACTCAGATGGAGGGAGAAGCACAATGAACCAACGGTAATTTACGCTGTCAAAGTTGGCAAAAGCTCTGTAAACAGTCTCCTTGTTATCATTGTGACCACGGCTTTAAATGAAAAATAAGCTCTAAATTAAATCTAGACTCAGAATAGTCCTCAGGTTCTTGGTGATGAGAATGAGCTGCTCTCAACTTACGATTTGCTTGCTGTCCTCTGCAAACGTCGCTTTGACAAACAGAGCTCCGAGCGAAAACCCGAGGGTACCATCCGTGTCACTGACGCACGTCTTCCATCGAGTGTCACATGTCTAGAGGAGGGGAGACACAATCAGAGGACAAGGTTACAGCAGGTCAAGAAGATGAACACAGAGACAGGCAGAGAGAGAGAGAGACAGAAAGGGAGACAGAGAGAGAAAGAGAGAATGAGAGACAGAGAGAGAGAGAATGAGACAGAGAGAGAGAGGGAGAGAGAGAGAAAATGAGACACAGAGAGAGAGAATGAGAGAGAGAGAATGAGAGAGAGAGAGAGAGAGAGAATGAGAGAGCGACACAGACAGAGAGGCAGAGTGTGTCTGTCAGAATCTAATTGCTGGCTCCTGCCCTGGGACTGACACAGGTTGAACCATTTCCCCCAGGCTATGGTCCCAGTCAGACACTGCTTCTCCCCCAGACTGTACTGGAGTTCCCAGTGCTTCTGTTCTCTGATACCAGAGTCAATCCAGTTTCACCCTTTCAAAACCAAAACAAAGAAGACTGTTGGAATTCTACCACCTGTAATTGACTGAGCAAGAAATTATGCTCATAATTAAACTATATCCAGAGAATGGGTGGTTTGATCAAACTGATAATATGCAAAAACACCTTGTTGTTAGGATGAAGCCAATGGGAGGATGAAGCAGGCAGATTGTGTAACAAGCCCCCTACGGTTTTCTGCCAGCACCAAGTGCTGTCATCCCCAAAACTACATGCAGTGACCATCCCCCCCCCAACCAAACCAATTCCCTGATTGGCTTCGGGCCTTTCTTAAATTAGATCCCAATTTCCCACCCAGTCCATTACAAGCAGCACCTTGGGTCACAATCTATGTGCATTGGGGTCTGGCTCCAGGCTATTTAAACTCAAAAGGGGCTGATACCACGTAAGGATTGAAATTGTGACACCAAAGTAGATCACAACCAGCTTTAGTAATCCAGCATACCCAGGCGGAAACTTTTCTTCCAGCGTTATTGTTCTAGCAGTGATCTATTCTCTAGATACCCCGTCCTATTACACACAGCCAACCTCAGAATCCTAGAGTAACTTGCATTGTAGTTGTAAATCAGGACATATTGCAGTCAATGTTGTAGTCCCATTGGCTAAAGGAAAATATTGTTTCAAAGTGAGAGGGATAACATTGATTTGAATGCTGCAAAAACAAAAATCAGATATTTTGGAATTGCTGCTGAGGTTGAGTTCTTCATTCGAATATATTTTGCCAATCTCAGTGGGGCGGCGCTGGGGAAGCACTTTAGACTGCAAACACAATCAATCCGGGCTCCCTCTCCTTTTCAACCCCTCTCCACGCTCCCCACACCCCGCCATACATCGCCCCCCCACCAACACCACCCCCCAAATATGAGGAGGACAGGACCGGTACAAAATAGTTTAAGACTGAAAGGCTCAGTCATACTGAAATAAAAGCAGAAAGTGCTGCAGGAACTGAGCCAGTCTAGAAGAAAAATCATATTAGACTTGAAATGTTAAATCTGCTTCTCTCTCTCGACAGATACTACCAGACTTGCTGAGTTTCTCCAGCACCTGCAGGATTTTGCTTTTATTTGAGACATCAGTGTTGCTGAAAGTTACAGCTGTGAATGGGTGCCTCAATGTGCAAACTCTTTCTGAAATCAGTACCAACAGGACAGGAAAGTTGCTGAGGTCGTGCCAGACCATTAAGGCTGCTCTCTCATTACAGAGAGATGACTGGTGGTGGTTTAACCTGAGGGCCACCACACCTCAGGAGAGGAGACAGTTTGAGAAGGAGAGCCCTTCACTGTAACGTCAGTCGATGCAGGGGATTGAACCCACGCTGCTGGTATCACACCGCTTTGCAAACCAACTGACCAGCCAACTGAGCTAAACTGATGCCACAACAGGAAAGGGCAGAAAGTGAAGAATAAGTAATTGGCAATGGAGGCTTGTTTTCTTCATCCTATCGTGGAATGTGGGCCTCACTGGAGAGGCTGGTATTTGTTGTTCATCCCTTGGGCTATGTGTGTGGTTGCTCGGCCATTTCAGAGGGAAATTAAAAGTCAACCATATTACTGAGAGCCTGGAGTCACATGTAGGCCTGACTGGGTGAGGACAGCAGGTTTCCTTCCCCAAGGAGGAATTTGTGAAACAGATGATTTTGTTTTACAGCAATCAATGGTCATCATTAATGAGAAACTTTTGAGATTTTATCAATTTTAAGTTCTAATAGCCGTGGTGGGATTTCAACCCATGCCCCGAGAAGGTTAGTCTGGGCCTGTGGATCACTAGTTCAGTGACATTAGCATAATATCACTATCTCCCCTTTTTTTTTGAAGCTTCTAGATTTTCTTGAGTGCAATAAAAATGTGAAGAATTGTGCGCACACAAAATTTTCAGGTAAAAAGCTTCTTGTACTATCAGCTAGAATGGCTAGACGTGAAGGAAGACACAAAGTTTGAAACCATGGACTCAAACAAGAAAAGAAATGAAAGTCCATGTGCTGGCTGACCAGGTTCAGAGTCTGATCTCATAGAATCCCCACAGTATGGGAGCAAGCCATTCAGTCCACACTAACCTCCAAAGCGCATTCCACCCAGACCTAACCCCCATCCCCTTCACTTCCCAAGGCTAATTCACCTAGACTGCACACCCCTGGACACTATGGGCAATTTAACATGGCCAATCCACTTAACCTGCACATCTTTGGACTGTGGGAGGAAATCCACACAGACAGAGGGAGAATGTGCAAATTCCACACAGACCATGGTCACCCAAGGCTGGAATTGAACCCTAGATCCTGGCACTGAGAGGCAGCAGTGCTAACCACTGAGGCACTGTGCTGCCCTGCTCTCATCCAGTCTAAATGTTAGTTTCCCCCTTGAATTTATATTCTTCTGCAATATCCTCGTGAATGAGCAAGATGAAATGCTTTGAAGAAACATAGTTTCGGCAACACTCAGAAAGAAAAGAAAGCTACCGTCCTCTTTTGATCCTAACTTAATTTAAAATTTTCAGAGAAAGCAGAATTAACGTTTCGGGCCCAGTGACCCTACTTCAGAACTTTTCCAGCAATTTCTGTTTCTGTTTCCGATTTCCAGCATCCACAGTTTTTTGTTTTTTTCAGAGCCTAATCTACTGCTCTGGTCCTCACTGCAGCAGTCATTATTCTTTGCCACACAAGTGCGTACACTCCCCAGGAGAGGTTTCAGTTTGACTCTGTGACAGATGATGAATTGCTGGCAGCAAAAAAGGTCTAAATAAAACCAACATCAAGTGACAGAGCGCTCACCTTCCGTACGTTCATATTGGTTCAAATTGTTTGCAGCAAGTAAATTTTTAAAAAAAATCATGACCTTAAATTCCCCTCTGCAGGCTTAGCAAATCAGGGGACTCAGTATCGGTGAAACCAGCCAGAATTTTTGAAAAACCTTTAATACTATATTTTTTTCTTGTCCATTATGCCAGTCCTCTCAGGGCAGGGAACAGCTGCTAAAGAGGTGGAGATGAGAGTGTGTGTGTGTGTGTGTGTTAGCATGTATGTGTGTATGGGGGTCTGTGTGTGTGTGTTAGCGTGTGTGTGTGTTAG